TAAAAAAGTGACTGCAACTTTAAAAGGTGAATTGTATGTGTTAAATGATAATTCATTAGAGGTAGCTAACACAGTATATAATAATGTTAAACCTCATGATGAGTGCATACATTTGTTACACAGACGTTTAGGGCATATAAATTTTAAAATGCTTAAACAAACGGTAGAACTATCTAAAGGTATAAAACTGAAGCCTTGCAGTAAGTATTTGCACTGCAATACTTGTAGTCAAGAAAAAAGCAAGGTAATACCAGCAAATAGAATTAATGGATTTAAGACAAAGGAACCTCTAGAGGTCGTATTTGCTGATATTATAGGTCCTAAAAAGCCAAGTGTGGGAGGTGCTCGTTATATACTAAGTATAATGGACCATTATTCCAGATGTGGTTTCTGTTATTTAATGAAGAGTAAAACGGAAACATATCAAAATTTCTTTAATTGGCTTAAATTTGCAGAAAGAAAAACTAAAAGGAAATTAGTAACTCTTGTAACTGACAATGGTACGGAATTTATAAACAATAAATTCAAAAATAAACTGAAGATGGCAGGTGTTGAACATAAAAAGTCTGCACCATATAGGCCACAACATAATGCCTTTATAGAAAGACGAGGCCAAACATTACAAGCAATGGCTCGTACTATGCTGTCAGATTCAGGATTACCTGATACTTTGTGGGGAGAAGCAATAATGTGTGGTAATCATATATTGAATAATGTTGTTAACTCAACAACAGGTGAATTACCATTCACACTGTGGTATGGCAGAAAACCTGACCTAAGCTACATGCACACATTTGGAGCACCAGCATGGGTGCATATTCCTACACAACTGAGACATAAGGGGCAGCATAGGGCTAAAAAGTTATTCTTTGTAGGTTATGAATCTAATCACAAATCATACAGATTCTGGGAAAAAGGTACATCTAGAGTTTACTGTAGTGCTAGTGCACAATTCCTAGAACATGTAGGATGGGAAAAACTGGAGCAAGATTCAAGTAAGGAAGTAATAATAGAAACCTACAAAAGACCAAAAGAACAAATCAGTAATAAGAAGAGCGCAATTAAAGAGTAAGTACATGAAGAGCATATAGGACCAGAACAGGAAGAAATACCAGAACAGGAAGAAAAAGATAACCAGGAACAGGTAGAACATGAAAGTCCACCTGTAAGCCCTGTAATACCTAGACGTTCTACACGTGTAACCAGACCACCTGACAGGTACCAAGCAAGTGTAGTTTGCCAAGTTAGTAAAGTTCCAACTACTGTTGAAGAACTTAGGATGTATCCTGCAAAGGAACAGGAAAATTGGCATAAGGCAATGGAGAAGGAATTAAATTCATTAAAGGAAATGAAAGTTTATGAAAATGCCAAATTACCTCCAGGTGAAAAGTCCATTGGCTGCAAATGGATATTTAAATTAAAAACTGGTAAAAATGGGACTGTTACCCATAAGGCTAGGTTGGTAGCTCAAGGATTTAATCAAACTGCATGTGATTATGATGAAGTATTTGCACTGAATTTAAAGGCAACAACCTTGAGAGCAGCTTTAGTGTGGGCAGCTAAGAAGAATTATATTATAAATCACTTAGATGTAGAAACTGCCTATCTGCATGCACCATTGCAGCACACTATATATTTAAGGAAACCAGTAGGTATTAAGGATAATAAAAATAATGACTGTTGGAAACTTAAAAAGAGTCTCTATGGATTAAAGCAATCTGATTATGAATGGAACCAATATATTGTTAAAGAGTTAAACAATATAGGGTTTAAAGCAGGTTTAGCTGATCCATGTTTATTTAAGAGAGAGACTAATGGAACAGTATCATTATTATTGTTGTTTACAGATGATATTGCTTTAATTACAAAGACTAATAATGAAGCTACTGAAATAATATCATTATTAGGTAAGAGGATAAAATTAAAGCAATTAGGAGAGATAAGCCAGTATTTAGGATTGACAATAAACAAAACCAAGAGTGGCTTTAAGATATCTCAAGAAGATCAAATTTACCAATTGCTAAAAATGTATAAAATGGAACTTTGTAAGCTGGCAAAAACTCCAATGAGTCAGGAATTTTGCCGAACTGATGCTCAAAGTTCAAAATTCGATAAGACTATTTATCAGTCATTAATTGGTAGTTTATCGTATATTAGCAATTGGTCAAGGCCAGACATTGCATATTGCGTTAATCAATTGGCAAGATTCAACGCTGAACCCACTGAACGTCACTGGCAAGCGCTAAAGCGTATATTAAGGTATCTTAAAAGGACAATGCACTATGCATTGTATTTGGAGCCAAAAGATGATTTGATTTTAAGTGCATATGCTGATGCAAGTTTTGCAACAGACATAAACACTAGGAAATCAACTTCAGGTATGGCTATACTATTAGGTAAAGCACTGATTGGTTGGAGGTCAATTAGACAGCAACACATAAGTATGTCCACAATGGAAGCAGAATTTTCATGTCTATCTTTATTATGTACTGATTTAATTCTGTATAAACAGTTGTTATTAGATATGGGAATAACTGTTAATGATGCCATTGTAGTTTATGAGGACAATCAAGCAGCCATACGGTTGGCTACAAATATTGCTGTAAAAACGAGATCTAAGCATACAGATCTTAGATATCTGAATGTAAGACAATCTGTAAAAAATGGTTTAATAAGATTGGAATATTGCATGACTGAAGAAAATTTTGCTGATCAGTTTACAAAAGCCCAAGGTGCAGTAAAGCACAAGGAAAGTTGTGAAAACTATGGGTTAAAGTTGTAAATAGATATATATGTTATTATATTACCCAAAAGGGGAGAATGTTAGGAATAACATGGTTACCTAACTTAGTTTGGGTAAAATAATATATATAAACTATGTTAGTGTGTTTAAGTGTGTGTATCACTTTAACTGTAAGACCATGTATTTTGGGTGCGGTTGTAAAATCACCATAAGAGGGAGCAAGAGAGCTCACTGTTTGCTGGCTTATTGGATTGATGATTGATGGTTTGCTAACTGCGTGTTTTCCTTGCTACTGAGTTTGAACTGCGAAGGAAGAAAAAGAGAAAGGAGGTTTTAATTCTTCTTATCTCATACTGCGAAGAGATAAAATACTGGACTGATATTGTAAGTTTAATGAACTCTTTTTCGACACTGGACTTTGCTAATGGATAATCCCCGGACGGACTGAATTAGTGTATGATATATGGACTGTTTGACTATGCTATAACTCTTACTGGAATAAAAACTATTTAACTGGCACAGTGTATCTGTTTTACTGAGTGTAAGCTACAACAACGTTTATCTCACATATCTGCCTGCCTGACTGACTACCGTTGCAGGTTCTGCTAGGGTGTATATCCCTAACAGCGTATAACAATACTGCCCATAATAATACAGGACAGACCCCGTTCAAAATAGTACATGGAATGAACTTTGTACCATTCCCGAATGGCCACATAACAGTGAAGAGCCCGTAACGACTAAATGGTCTGAAAAAAGAGACATGGGGAACAGTACAGAAATCCTTGAACGAGGCTTTTCTTGCATATAAGAAACAGGCAGATAAAAAGAGGGCTGAAACCAAATCTTTCAAAATTGGGGATCTGGTATACCTTTCTACCAAATATTTAAATTTGGGATAACCATGTAGGAAACTCAGTCCAAAATATATCGGTCCATTCCCTATAGTGAAGGTAATCAACCCTGTCACCTTGCAGCTAAAACTGCCTTCACGTTTTAAGCGGGTGCATCCCGTTTTCCATGTAAGTTTAATCAAGCCTGATAATAGGGAAAGACCAGACATCCGGCCCATACCACCTGGGCCAATATGAGACAATCAATATGAGGTGGCGGATATTCTAGATTCATGAAAGTGTAGGGGTGTGTTACAATATTTGGTATGGTGGAAGGGCTATCCTCTCGAGGCCTCATGGGTGGTTCATACCAATGTCAATGCTCCTTGACTCTGCCACCGTTTTTACCGGAGATATCCTATGAAGGCAGGTGGTAAACAGTAATGTTATAGCCTCACGACTCTACCTCTCTTTCTCCAGGTAGACCTGTGGTAGAGGGGCAGCCTGTCAGGATCCAAATGCAGTCGCCCATCAGCAGTAGAGCTCTACACCCGGATCCCTCCAACATGTGACATCGAATCTGATCAGTGGGAATTGATGGCTGAATGGGGGCTCCCAAATGCTGCCTCGCAACGCTGCCTCACGTTGGTACCTGGGACGTGGAGGCTGCACAAGGGATTCCCCAAGGACGTCGCTGGATGCTTTGTGGAGTGGGGGGGATAGATGTTTGTTATCACAGGGTTCTCACGGGATGGTGAGATGCAGAGCATTATAGGCTGCAGAGGCGGGATATGGGAAAAGCCTAATTAGCCATATTAGGGAACTTTTGTTATGTGGGGATTTAGGATAGGGCGGTCCGCAGGAGGTAGCTGCGATTAGGAGGGTGGGGTAATGCTATAATTGCGCTGGAAGGCAAATGCTTCCAGCGCTAACCTAGTTTGGATTTCAAACTGTTACCGCCGGATGGGATGTGAGTTACATGTACAAAATAAACGACTACCTACATCTCTGTATGTTGGTTTGTGGATTTGTATCTCGGGTCTACTAACATCCAGAAGACTGGCTAACACATATTCGCACCAGAGTTGCAGGCTGGAACAAACTGGATAGCTCACTCACAACTGCACAACCAGGTCCATCTTTGCCACTGTCACACACCCTCGCACCATCCGCCGTGGAAACATCCTTAGCCTCTCTAGCAGAGGAATTCCATTTTTTGTGTTTGTTTGTTTACCTGACCCTCCCCAGCAAGGACATGGCAGATTTCAGCCGATATTCCTCTTACAGCTTTAATCACTCTGTCAAGAGAAACATTATTAAATAAAGTTTGTGTATAGAAAAAAAAAGAGAGTGGTAGGGGGTGGGGGAAAGGCAGTGCCACCCCAGTTTTCTGCCTCACACTCTTCTCCAAAAAGGATGGGGGATTTTTCTCTTGCTGTTGGGTCTTCAGCAGAGAAGATGTCCAGAACCGGATTCCCACCCTCAGAGTTGCAATGGTGAGATTTTTCTTCTTCTTCTGGGTTTGGTCATCCTTTTGGACAGAAATGTGCATGGCAACACAAAACTGTGTAGTTTTTTTCCCCAGCACTCTTATTATGGGGTGTTATTTCACAAAAACGACGTTGTTGTTGGAATTGCGGGAGGCCAGCCAAGCTAGGAACACATCCCTGGGTATGTGGGTGAGACAGAGAGAGAGAAAGAGAGAGAGAAAGGGGGGGAACATGTCAGAAAACCAAACTCAAACAAGATTAATCTACAGGTGGTCCTTGAGTTACAATGGTTCATTTAGTGACCACTCAAAGTTACATCAGTATCTGAAAAATGGACCGTTTTTCACAGTTATGACTTTTCTGGCGTCCCCAAGGTCACATGATCAAAATCCACATGCTTGGCCACTGACTCATATTTATGACCGTTGCTGGGTCCCGGGGGTCATGTGATCCAGATTCACTTAACCAGGTTATCTAACATATCAACCACTGTGATTCACTTAAGTGTGGCAAGAAAGGTCATAAAATGGGGCAAGACTCACTTAACCAACGTCTCACTTCCCAACAGAAATTTGGGGCTCAATTGTGGTCCTACGTTGAGGACTATCTATACTGGATTCTGACTACGACACCACCATGGCTAAATCAGGGCAAATTCCGCTGTATTTCTGAGAACTACAGCAGAAGCTCTAAGCCAGGGATGTCAAACACAAGGCCCGTGGGCCACATCCGGGCCACAAGGTGGTCGGAACTGGCCCGTGGGGCCATCCTGGAAAATATAAGGGTCACTTCAGCACAGTCTACCCAATGCAAAGAGAAAACATGCCAGCAGTTTGGGGAGTGGTGTCAAGCTGGCCACTGTTGTGACCCGCCAGCTGCCAGCAGAGCTGGCAGCAGACTTGAACGATGAGGAGGATGGGGAAGAACTTGGGCCACTTCTGGAGCCTGGGGAAGGCTCTGATGGATGCTCAGCATCGGACACAGAGATAGAGCCAGGGCTGTCCAACATTTCCCAACCACCCTTTGGAGGCTGAGATGAGTGGGGAGGAGGAACAGCTGGGGCCTATTCCAGATGCACGTATGCGCAGAGCAGTTAGGAGAGGTGAGCAATGAAGGGCAAGGAGTCAACTTGGGAGGCAAAGCAAGCATGGATGCTGAATGACCCCTCCCTGGCTGGGGAATAAATAGAAGGAAAAGGGAGTGGTTGTTGTAGGAGACAACAGTTCGTATTTCTGGAGATTTTGCTCATTGTGTTTTGTGCCACAGAGACTTCTTGCCAGAACTTAATTTGCAGCCTTTCAGCTGGGAGCTCAGGGCCTTTCAATTATCTGCAAGGAACTGATAAGATCTGTTGCTGCAGTTAAGTCCTTGCAGGACTCTTGCTTGGACTTTTCGGTGGATGAATGCAATTAATTCACAAGAGGTAAATAAATAGGGTTTTTTTGTGACAAGGAGTCTGTTTCTTGTTTCTGCTAAGGCTGGGTCAGAACAGCCACGCTCACCCAGTCGGTCACATCCACCCAGTTGGCCAAACATGCCCGGCCCCCCCAAGGTCAACCACAGCCCTGATGCGGCCCTCAATGAAATTGAGTTTGACACCGCTGCTCTAAGCAAACCCACCTGCAGTGTTTAACCACGCATTCGTTGCTACAGTATTCATTGTCCCAGTCACTGTTGACCATTGGAGGGTTGTTGCAGCCCACGCGGATGCAGCGAAGGCAGGGTGACATGGCCACAGGCAATTCGGAGACTAGCTCCATATGCATTTGCGTTGGAGACTCGACCTGCGAGTAGAAGAGGAGGAAAGTTTCTGAGATTTAGCCAACAAGCCTGCTAGAGCAGGGGACAGAAAACACAGGCTCTTCAGTCCTGCAAATCAGAGGAGGAAGAAAGGGGCCCAAGATCTCTTCTTCCCCAGTCCAGTCCAATTAAATTGGCCTTTTTGATTGACAGAGTAACAGAGTTGGAAGGGACCTTGGAGGTCTTCTAGTCCAACCCCCTGCTCGAGGAGACCCTATACATTTCAGACAAACGACTGTCCAATCTCTTCTTAAAAACCTCCAGTGTTGAGGAGGGCAGAGCTGACGTCGCAGCAGGAAGACAGGCGATTCGGGGGCTCCCAAAACTACTGTCGATATCCCTGCAGCTGGACAGTCCTTTAGGATCTAAACCGTCCCAGAGAGACAGTGACAGAGGGGGGCACACCCTGTTGATCCCAGGGACATTGCAAAGTCCCTGGTTGATCCAGGAGAAGCTCCCTGAACCAGAGGCAGAGGAAAGCGGCCATTAAGGCTGCTGGAAAGCTGGGACAGCTCCGGAATGAAAGAGAAAGTAGAAGGAAAGTGTGTCGGAACTGGGTAAGATTTTTTTAAATTATGTTTTCGCTAAGGATTAAAGAGCACCCTAAGGGGAAAAATTTTAAGAACATTGAAGACAGAAGAGAAAGTTAGTGGCGGGAAAGCCTGTTTATAACTGTCAGATTTAATTAGGACTATTTTACTACGTGTTTAATTGAAAGATTAACTTTTTCTTTTTAACTGGACTGGACAAGCAATTTGGAAAAGACAAAGTTTTAACTTTAATTTTAAATCTTGGACTATTTTTCCCTTTTAGTTTGCTATTTAGCAACCTATAAATTTTAAAAGTGAAACTTTTTTTTAACCTTTCTTGATACAATATAACAAAGGAGTGAAAGCAAAGCAATAGTGCCACCTAGAGGTTACAGAAAAATTATAAAGATTAAAGAATTGTTTTTTGAGAGCAGGTTGTTTAGACCTAAAAGGAAGATAAAGAGCAGAGTGGTGAAAAATTGTTGAAACAGGTACTGTGCTGGCAACCTAAACAGCTGGAGATAGAATAAGAGAAAAGACTACTGTGACCTTGGACTGTTTTGACTTGGCTTTTTGGATACAATACAGTGGCTTGGATTTGCTTTGTGACTTCCATTTAAAACAATGTTGGCTATTTTATTTTGTTTTATTTTTTACTGTTGGTACTTTTTCTGGGCCTTTTTACTATTTCATCTTTGTTGACAGCTGCTTGCTTCCTTTTTTTTGGCTAGCTCTCTACTTGGAATATTCTAATTTTCTCTATTTTTATCTTTTATTACTGGACTATATTACAAGTGGATTATTTTTGGAACTCTTTCTTTTTTAATTTTTTGTTTCTTTTTTACTTTTGCCTCTGTGGATTTAATATTTTTGATTCCTCTATTTTTACATTTTGTTTTTTGATATGGAAAGCTTGTTCTTTTTATAATTGGATTAAGGCAGAGAAGAACCTGAAGAAAACAGTACTTGGATTAATTGGCAGATATCTTTTGCTTGGAATTATAATTAATTTGAGATGAGGAAGACAGCTGAAACAGTATCATTGATCCCTACTTCCTCCTCCCTAAGCCCAGCTGGTCAGTGATCAATACAAGCTATGTTACAACAGGAAAAGGAAAAGGAGAAGGAGAAAGAAAGAGAAAAGGAAAATGACTTTCCAATGCAGGAGTTAAGAACAATGATGCAAGCAATACAAGCAATACAAGAACAAGGGAAGCGTGCTGAAGAGAAAGTTGAAAATATACAACAGATGATGAAGAATGAAGAAAGAATGCAAAAGATGGAAGAAAGAGACTGGACAGAGAAAAAAGTTGGAGAAATCAATAACAGATTGACAGTAGTGGAGCAAGACAAGGGAAAAGGAATGATTGCCCTAGAGATGGATAAGGGTGATTTTTATCTAAGATTTCAAAATGTGGAGGAAGAAAAAGGAGAAAATTTTGCAGAGATAATGACAGAAATGCTGGCAGAAACCATGGAGATACCAAGAGAAAAAATGATGGATGGAATTGATGAATTATTTCGAGTGTATACTAGATATGCAATGAGACATAAGCTACCCAGAGAAGTCCATGTGAGATTTACTAAGAAAACAATTAAAACAGAAATATTACAGAAGGTGAGAGATGACCCATTGAAATATAGAGGGAAAACGATCACAGTTCTGAAGCAGGTACAGAGAAGAGTGAGAGATTTGAGAAGAGAGTATCTTCACAAAAATTCTAATTAAAAAAGCAGTGATTTATAGATGGTTGATCCCAGAAGGTTTAATGTTTATTTGGCAAGAACAAAGACACAGATTGGATTCAATAGAGAAAGCAGAGTTATTTTATGATGAATACTTCAGAGGAAAAGAAGAAGAGAGAACAAGAAAGGAGAAAATAATTGAAATTCAAGATGAAATGGTTCAAGAAAGGGACAAAGAGAAAAGAGAAGAAAGAATATGAAAAGAAGGAGCAATAGGTGGCAGGCTGGAACCAAAAGAGGCAAGAGAACAAAGAATAACGAAAGCAATAAACCCTACATATAAAGTATAAATAATGGATGAAGAAAATAAGTTAATATCAATAAATATAAATGGATTGAATTTGGCCATTAAAAGAAAAAAGACTTTTCATAAGTTAGAAAAATTAAAACCAGATATAATCTGTCTACAAGAAGTACATATAAAAAAACAACATGTTCAACTCTTGGACTAGCCTAGAATTGGGAATTTATATGCTTCATTGGCACAACAAAATAAAAGAGGTGTAGTCTTATATATTAAGAATACAATAAAAGCTAAATTAATTTTTGAAGATGAAGAAGGGAGAATATTGATGGTGGAAATAATAGATAATCATCAACAAATACCTTTAATAGCAATATATGTACCGAATGAGAAACAAGAATTTTATAAAAAATTACACAAAAAAATAATAGAATTGGAATATGATAGCATATGCATTCTAGGAGACTTTAATGCTATTGTAGATGCAGAGTTGGACTACAAAACACAGAAAATAAAAAAAATAGAAAGACATTACCGAAATCCTTTTTTAAGATGGCAGAGGAACTAAGCATCCGAGATGTATGGAGAGAATTAAACACCAAAAGCAAACAATACACATTCTACTCAAATAGACATTCATCATGGTCAAGAATAGATATGATTTGGATCAGGGGTCACCAACCTTTTCGACCTCGGGGACCACCAAACTCATAATTTTAAATTCCGAGGACCACTAATATGATTTTTTAAAAAAGATAATATATTTAATATAAAAATTATTTTTTATATTAAATATAAAATTAATATTAAAAATTTATTATATATATATATATACACACACACACATATAAATGCTTATTTAATTATAACAAAATCGTAAATGTTTAATCATAACTGTGGGGCAGAGCAAAGGGAAAGGAGGGGCCTCTCTCATCCTTTGGGGGGGGGGGGGGGGGAGGATTTAAGAAGCCACATGGTGCCTGGAGGCTGGGAAGATCTGGATGGGGAGGAACCGGCTCCCCCTCAAACGGAAGAAAAGCAGAGCCATCTCATATCTCCCCCAAGTCAGAGGAAACCTCTCCCTCCTTTGCCAGGTGTGGCTGCCTGGAGTTAGTTGGGGGAGGGAAGGAGGGCCGGGCTGGAATCACCGACGGGCTCCTAATAACCAGGCAACACCCCCCTCCTTCAGCCTCCACATAAGAAGAGGACTCCCCGAGGCTAAGCTCCAGGTTTCCCCTGTTGCTTCCAAGCAGAGAAGGATCCCTCCCTGTGTGGAGGCTGAAGGGGAGGGGGGGTGTCGAGTCCAGAAAAGCTGGAGCTCTCGCCTGCACAAGCAGGCTGGTTCTTAGGAGCCCGTCTTCCTCAGCACTTCTTTGGTCTGGGCATTTGGTCTCTCCCCCCACCCCATGCCAAAGGAAAGCCAGCCAGGCTTCTCCTTCCCTCCTTCCCTTCCCCCCACTCAATCTTCCTTCGGGACAGAGGAGAGCGCGCTGGAAATGTGTGTTGGCTTTTCCAACACGGCTTTCTCCAGCGCTCACTCGCAATTCTTCACGTTCCTCCAGGCCTGGATTGCTGAGGGGGGAGAGCAGCCCTGAAGTCTCTGCTGCCCACCCCCCGAGGAAAAGCAAGCAAGCAGAAACAGTTCTCGCTGGGGTAAAAGAGCAGAAATCAGAAGGCACAGGCAACAGAAAGCGGCGCTTTTCAAAGGCAGCAGCTTCCATCTTCTCTTGCCTGTGCCTTCCTCAACCTCAGCTCTTTTGCCCCAGTGAGAGCTGTTTCTGCTCTTTTTTGCTGTGCTTTCCCTGGGCACCAATGGCTTGGGCCATATGGGTGGGGGGCAGTAAAGCAGAGCACCGAGAGGGACAAGGAAACTGATGCCGGCCCTGCTGCCCCATTCTGGACCTCTGAACTGGATGGTGAGCGCAGACTTGCCCACTCCGCCCCCTCCCACCACCACCAGTCAGTACTTTTCCTGCCCTGGGCCATCCCTACAGCCAGCAGCCATCGAGGAAGAAGCCAGGCCAGGAAAGGCAAACTGGAAGGTGTGGGAGTGCTGTGCAAATGCAAGTAGCGCAGCGCTCCTACACCTTCTGGCCATCTCCATTGCTGCTTCAGCCCGCCCATGCCGCCAGCTCCCTCTTGCTGCAACAGCGCCATTACCTCATCCTTCCTGGAGAGGACTGTGCTGCTTTTTGCAAGTTTGCGCTCGGCTGAAGGGTGGGAGCCAGTGGGTGGGCGGGCTTTGGGGGGTGCTTTGGGGGCCATTTCTCTACAGCCCACCAAAGTTTTCTCACGGCCCACTGGTTGGCAACCACTGATTTGGATGACACCAGAATTTATTTTAAATATACAAGAAATAAATATTGAAACAAGTACCTGGGCAGATCATAATCCAATATGGGTCAAATGGAAAGGACAAAGGAAAAGGTCAAGATGGACTTTGAATAATTCAATTTTGAAAGAA